CTGATCTTTTCAAAAACCCAAGACAGCCCAGGGTAAAACAAAGGAAAATGAGAAATTAACGGAATAACAGAGTTGGAAGGAACCTTGGAGGTCTTCTAGTACACACACACAGACACACACGCTCAAGCAGGAAACCCTACACCATTTCAGACAAATGGTTGTCCAATCTCTTCTTAAAAACCTCCAGAGTTGGAGCACCCACAGCTTCTGGTGGCAAGCTGTTCCACTGGTTAATTGTTCTCACAGTCAGAAAATTTCTCCTTAGTTCTAGATTGGTTCTCTCCTTGATTAGTTTCCATCCACTACTTCTTGTTATGCCTTGCACCTCTAGATCTCTTGTAATTTACAGATTGTCTTCTAGGGCAGCCCCATCTAGATAGTCTTGAATAAGCTTTTCTTATTAAGTAGCCTAAAATGTAAAAACAATATGTAACAGAGTATAAAATATAGAAATATAAAATTTCATATCTCGTTGCAATTCTGCCTCTCCTAGGGAGGAGTGACATTGAGGATCAGTTCTCTTGTCTCAACTCTTCGCCAGTGTTAAATGTAGATAACTCTTTTTGAAAGTCCAAGAGGGATCTAAATGCAAGATAGAGGGGTGACCACAACTGGAGAAGATGGCTTTTCACTAGTTATCATTATCTCTCGGGGATTACATAGACCTGTGGTATGCCTAGAAGCCAATACCGAATGCAATTAATTCATTTTGTAAGATCTTTTCTTTGGAATCTTTGTCCCTCAGTTTAATTTCTATATTAGAGGAGAGGCAGTTGCTGTGCTGTTGTGAGTAACTCAAGAATGTCAATGTACAGTCAAGCCATGGTTACCTAGACTTGCCATAACTCTTGAGACATTTGAGGAAACTGAACATGTGTCATGTGCAAGAGACCAAAATCTCAGGAAGAACAACTTCCCACTTGTTTGCCTACACTAGGTATATTTTATGAATAGCTAAGTGCCAGTGAAACAGCAGAATTCAAAGAGGAAGTCCAATATGGGAAATAAGACTTATTCTCTGACAAGGTATGATTGCGGTCTCCAAACCTTTCCTAATTTACATTATAATGAATATTGGAAAGACATTAGCTGTTTTCTAACAGGCATTAAGGGTGGGATTTGGAGGAAGGAAGGAAGGAAGGAAGGAAGGAAGGAAGGAAGGAAGGAAGGAAGGAAGGAAGGAAGGAAGGAAGGAAGGAAGGAAGGAGATGGACTTTATCTAAATTCTCTTATTGAATACAAAGTCTCCAGTGATACTGGCTTCCTAGCAGCTTTTTTATACCTTCCTAGGCATATGCAAATATCCTCATGAAATGTTCCTCTTTATAAGCAGTGTCCTCACTTTGGACCTTTACATTTTCTTTGAATTGTACACATCAGACTGGAGGACAAAGACTTTAAAAATAGATTATGAATTTCTTGCTGTTTTTCTTTTCTCTTGTAGCCATGCCAAAATGTCAGTACATCATTTTAGAGAAAGTGTGTGATTTTGTTTCTGATACATGCGAATCCTGATTATTTATTTATTTGTTTGTTTGTTTTGTCTCTTACTTCTCTAGGGTGCTTTTCTGATGTGCAACTTGTATCTTCAGGGCCTGAAACTGTAAGACCAGGACAAAATCTCAATTTGCTCTGTAAAGTTACAGGTGTCTCCATCACTAGTAGCAGCTATGCTTGGAACTGGGTCCGTCAGCCTCCTGGAAAAGGGTTAGAATGGATTGCCAGAATCTACCCCCATGATGGGAGAAAATGGTTTTCATCTTCTCTTCAAAGCCGCACCACCATTACTTCAGATAACTCCAAGAATGAATATTCCCTTCAGTTGACCTCCATGTCAACATCTGACACTGCCATGTATTATTGTGCTAGAGATGCACACTGACTGATTTTGCCTGATCCTCCGAGCAAAAACAGGAAACTGATTCTGACTGTGCTTTTTTTTTTTTGTTCCATGCAGTAGATCAACAAATGAAATTCAGACAAATGAAATCACTTAACTTTTTGGAGGAATATATCTCCCAGAAGAACATCAAAACAGTAGAGTCAGACACTGAAAGTCACCTTGAGACAACAACAAAACTCATTCTATCCAACTGAACCATCGGACTGAATCCACTCCAGTTAATTGATATTAATTTTATAAAGCAAAATAGTAAGCACAATCTTGATGACATAGAAATGAGATGCCTTTTTTTTTTTTGCAGCTCACTGTACACAGATAGAAATGGGGTAGAGTTTGGATCACAATGTCCTTCAACAAAACGAAAAGAATCAGAAATAGGAGGAGAAAAAAGCTTTTTGAGGTGGTCCACAAAAAGATATAATAGCAGTCTTTCACTAACTAGAGGCTCACACAAAAAGAAGGGGTGGGCTTTTTCTCTACTGCCTCTCACAGTGTGATCAAAACCAATGGATTAAAATTACAAAGAAGGAGATCCCTGTAAAAGGTGTCAGGCATGAACCAGGCCATCCAATGATGGGATTAATTCTCTTTCACTACTGGTCTTCCCTAGTAATTGCTCAGAGGAGCTAGAGTAGAACTCACACCATATATAGAATTGGCTGTTAAAGATAAAAGATGACTTCTGATTCTAAGGTTTAGATCCAGTGGTGGGATTCAAATACCTGAACATCCAGTTCTCTACCTGGATGCAGGCCTGGGCCTCCGAGGCCTAGAATGGACTTCCAGAAGTGACATCCATGCACTTCCTATGGGCTGTTCTAGGCCTAGAACAGCCCTTAGAAAGGACTTCCAGAAATGACATCAATGCACTTCCGGTGCGCTGTTCTAGGCCTGGGAGGCCTCCACCAGGCCTAGAACAGACTTCCGGAAGTGACATCCACACACTTCGAGTGGGCCGTTCTAGGCATTGGAGTCCTCCTCTAGGTCTCCGAGGTCTAGAACGGACTTCCAGAAGCAGCATGGGTTCAGCCGATTCTCCAAACTCAACAAAATTTAGCTCTCATTTCTACCGAACCGGTGCGAACCGGCTGAATCCCACCACTGTTTAGATCAGAATTTCATGATACAATTTTCTTATTTTTCTTATTCTCTTCTTTCTTACTTCTCACAGCAGAGAACCATGCATAAGCTAAAACCCCTTTTTAAAATTTAAATTATAGAGAAAACTCAGTGAAAGAAATACTCTGGATTGCAAAGGCACCAAATAGGTTCTTTCTCTGAAATTAAACTAAAAGCAGTCTTTGATTTTGGGAATAAGGTGAAAATGTCACATTCATGTCTTAATTTCTATAGTCAATGGATGAGCAAATGAAAATAGCTCTTGGTTAATAGGGTTAACCAAGAAACCCTAACACTAACCTGAGGTCCTCAACTTGTGGTCACGAGATATGAAAAAGTAGGCAAAGAGACATTCCAAACAGCCAATCCTTGTGATAAACGAAGGATATCTGAGGTTTTGTGATGATTGTGAAATATTCAGTTTCCAAAACAATCAATACTCTTCCTTCTTAAAACAAACTCTCCTGCAAAGCCAAATGTTTATTTTTTTTCTTTACAAACCCCAAGTGAGACAGCCTGTGTAGCTTAGTGATTAAGGGGCTAGATTAGGAGTTAGGAATCTGTCCATAGGCAGAGAATGTTGGTTGTTTGGGTTTGAGCCAGTCATTCTCTCCCATGCCTAGACTGGGATGTCAAAAAGCCATCAATCTATCTATTTCTTGAATTGGATCACTATGGTACTCCATGGTTCATAATGAAAGGGCTTTTATCCTGCAGGTGATTGATTTGGACTACTAATAATAGCAAAGTCTATGGAAATTAAAGAAACACTTTAGAATGAATGAAAGGATGTTTTGGGGTCCACCCTATCTGCTACATTGCACTTTTGGTTCATACTTACAACATTGGCCATACCTGTACTGAATGTTGCAATTTCATCATAAATTGGGCCACTTACCCTGTCCATAGGATGTATGTATGTATGTATGTATGTATGTATGTATGTATGTATGTATGTATGTATGTATGTATGTGTCTGTCTGTCTGTCTGTCTGTCTGTCTGTCTGTCTGTCTGTCTGTCTATCTATCCTTCTATGTCCAATGGAACATTCACATTTTTTTCTGAGTCCAATACAATAGATTAGTTATCACCTTTAAATCCCTTCATGGCATGGGACCTGGATACATGAGGAGCCATTTTGTCCCAATTACATAGACTCATCCCACGCAGTCAAGCAATGAGGTCATGCTGTATATCTGCTAGGATAGGGAGTTGTGACTGGCGGGACCTAGGATGAGGGCCTTTCCCCACATTTTACCCCAAGAATTGAGGCAAGATCCCATTTTTCCAGTTTTTTTGATGTGTTAAGACCTGATGTTGCCAATTACCCTGAAGGCCTAAAGGTATGTTGCAGCTTGGGAGATGGCTGGTGCCCAGAGGATACTCCTTGCTGTCCTGTTAACTTCCTTGCCTTCAAATTTTAACTTGATTTGTTTTTCCATGTAAACATTTAATTGCTTTTAATCCATTTTAAGCTATGTTTTTATTCATGTATTTATATGGTTTTATTATATAGTTGAAACAATCCAGAGTCTCTTAGGTGAGGTAGATAGTGTAGAAAATACAGAAAGAAAGAAAGAAAGAAAGAAAGAAAGAAAGAAAGAAAGAAAGAAAGAAAGAAAGAAAGAAAGAAAGAAAGAAAGAAAGTATTGAGAAATTTGCGCAAAGATCTGGATGGGGCTGATGTAAGACTGTGAAAATCTGACTTGTGCTACAAGCATGAGAAATGGTTTTGTATTGTGATCTGATGAAGTAAGGAAGAGAAGGAAGGAAGGAAGGAACTTTATCTGGATTCTCTTAATGAATACAAAGTCTCCACTGAACCTGGCTTTCTAGGAGCTCATTTATACCTCAGTGGGCTTATGCAAACATCATCACGAAATGTTCCCTTTTATAAGCAGGGTCCTCATTTTGGATCTTTACATTTTCTTCAAACTGCATATGTCAAACTGGAAGAAACTCATATAAAAAGACGCTATGAATTTCTTCCTGTTTTTCTTTTCTCTGATAGCCATGCCAAAATGTGAGTATATAATTTTAGGGAAAGTAACTATGTGATTTTTTTCCCTAATGCATGTAAATCCTGTTTATTTTTTGTCTCTTACTTCTTTAGGGTCCCTATCTGATGTGCAACTTGTATCTTCAGGGCCTGAAACTGTAAGACCAGGACAAAATCTCAATTTGCTCTGTAAAGTTACTGGTTACTCCATCACTAATAGTAACTATGCATGGAGCTGGGTCCGTCAGCCTCCAGGAAAAGGTTTAGAATGGATTGCCAGAATCTTCCCCCATAATGGGAATACATGGTTTTCATCTTCTCTTCAAAGCCGCATCACCATTGCTTCAGACAACTCCAAGAATGAGTTTTCCCTTCAGTTGAACTCCTTATCAGCTGCTGACAGTGCCATATATTATTGTGTCAGAGAGGCACACTAACCAATTTTGCTTTCTCTTCTGAGCAAAAACAGGAAACTGATTCTGACTGATTTCTGTTCCATGCAGTAGATCAACATTCAGGCAAATGAAATGCAAAGAAAGCTATCAGAGGTAATCCACAGATTTAAGTAATAGTGTTCAACCAGTTCTGAGGTGTGGCTTGGTAACATATACAAGAAACCAGAAGTTGCCTTTAAGCTTACGTGTTTATTCAGCTGAACAAAGATGGGCCCCTTTAAAAGAAAGGAAGCCCAGGTAACAAGAAATGCATGTATTTATACTCTTTTATTACTTACATAATCCACCCAGCAAAAAAGAAGTCACCCAGAAAGGCTGGCACACTATAGATAAGATAAGAGAGAACAGAAATAGCTAAAGATGTTCCTAGTGTCTTTTGGGTGGATCCTTAAGGACACTGGATGTTCCCAGCTGTCTTAGAACATTGGATGTTCCCTTAGTGACCTTCTATGGCAGACATGTCAAACTCGCTACATCACGCGACATCGCGCAATGTATCGGGACGGTTTTGTCATTGCCGGCAATGGGGTGGGTGCGGCTTCCGGATGACACATCCAGCCCACGGGTCGGCAGTTTGACACCCCTGTTCTATGGCCCTGCAAGAACCCAGAGATAATGAGGCCATCTGCATGTATACGGTTTCTATGCTTTCTCCAGATTCCTGGTCAACAATAACAGTCTTTCACTATCTGAAAGCTCAAACACAAAAAAGGGGTCAACTTTTTTCTCATGGCAATACTGATCTTCCCTAATTATTTGTCAGATGAACTAGAGTAGGTCTCTATCTACCAGATAGAGAGTTAGGCTGTTTTCTCTTTAACATCACTTTCAGTTCTAAGGTTTAGATCACAATTTCATGATAAAAAATCCTTATTTTCCTCTTTCTCACTTCTCACAGCAGTGGCCTATGCATAAGCTAAATAGCTGAGGTGGTCCACAGATATAACAGTAATCTTCCACTATCTGAAGGCTCACAGGGCACCATCCAAACCAATGGACTAAAATTACAAAGAAGGAGGTGCATGATGGACAACAGGATGAACTTCTTGGTTGTACAAGGTGCCAAGAAGTAGATTAGGTTGTCTCCTGACACAGTAACAGTAACAAGAGTAGAATTGGAAGAGACATTGAAAGTCATCTAGTGCAGTTCCCTGCTCATGCAGGAGACCTATGATACTGATGATAAATGGCTATCCAGTCTCTTCTTAAAAACCTCCAGTGATGGAACACCCACCACTTCCAAAATCAATTTGTTTCACTGATTGATTGTTCATGCTGTCAGGAATTTTCTCCTTAGTTCTAGGTTGCTTCTTTCCTTGATTAGTTTTCATCTATTTTTTCTTGTTTTGCCTTCAGGTGTTTTGGAGAATAGCTTGAGCCCATCTTCCTTGTTCTGTTTCAATTTCAGTACTGGTCTTCTCTAGTAAATAGTCATCTGTCAGAGAAGTTAGAGTAAAACCTGCACCAGACAGAGATTTAGGCTACTTTATCTTTAAGGTAATTTCCAATTCTGATTTTGTAAATATTTTCAGACATACACACGCATAGTGATATACTGAAGTACACCATACATACAGACACACCAAACAGAAAGCCCAAATACATTTTATTATACATTTTATGACCTTTATTGCCACAGTTGTTAAATGAATCATTGCAGTCATTAAGTTAGTAATACAGTTGTTAAATGAATCTGGTTTCCCCATTGACTTTGCTCGCCAGTAAGTCACAAAAGGTGATCCTGGGACCCTGCAAACCATCATAAATATGAATCAGTTGTCTGAATTTTGATCATGTGACCATGGAAATACTGCAATGGTCATAAATGCAAAAAGGTCATGTACTTTTCACAGACTTTGAATGGTCACTAAATGAACTATTGTAAGTCGAGGACTATGTAGTTAACATGCAATGCCCCCATGGTCATTCACCTTTATGACTGATCACAGGGATGCTTCAGAGTGTCTCCATCTATCTTTATCCACCTCCACCCACACACACACACTGGGTCCCTGCAGGTGTTGGACCTGCTTTCCACCCAATTGGTCCCTACTCTTCCTCCTAAGTCTGCATCACTTATCGTTCACTTTTTAAGATCTGTATTGCTCCAGAGCTCACAATAAGGCAGCAAAGCAATCCGCTTTTTTGTTGGGCTGTTGCACAATCCCAAACATGGCCACCATTTTCTGTGTGACTGCATTGAACTTTAGCTGCTCAGAAAATGCCAGCTGGTTCAGGGACAAAGTTTGCTTTGCTTGCCTAACTCAAACTCTGGAGTCTTCAAATCAAATGGAAAATGTGCAATGGGTAACCTGGGATGAGGAGGAAGTGGTCGGTTTCAGTGGGGTGGAAAGTAGGCCCAAGGTCTGCAAGACCCCGAGGGGTGGGAAGTACAGCATGTTGTGTCTTGGGGGGTTGGAGAGGTCTTAGGACACCCAGGGCAGGGCCTGCGTTAGACCTTGCAGGACTTCTCCTGGGGATTTGAGGCACCCCATGCTTTGCTTAATGACCTCAAGTTCATTTAACAACTGCATTGGGAAGAGCAGGGATTGGAGGGGTTGTAAGTGAGTATCAAGCTGCGAAAAATGCTTATGCTGCTTATGCTGCTTTTGCCATTATTGCTTCTTAGCTTGCCTACAGACTTAGGGGGGAGGGGGAAAGAATGGAATGTGGACTGCAGGTGCCAAACTGCCAGGCCGTGAGAACCAAGGTCGCTCAAGCGAAGACTTTCTCTCATAATAACTGTCTGATCTTTAATTGGACAGTGTGACCTGCACTATTAAGGGGAAGGGGAGTTTCTATACTTTTAATATACTGATATTGGCACAATAAACCAGAGCTGGGTTTCTATTCATCTGTGCTGAAATGGTGTACTCAATAAAGTTTTGCATTACAGATTGGATCATTTCAGCTGTGCTTGCTTTGTTGGGTTTGTCAGCCGGAATCTTGACAGTGAGGTGATCACATGGATTCTTCACTTAATGGCCATTCATGACTTCCAATTGAAATGGCCAGGCTCCATTAGGGTCATGAATCAAGGACTACCAGTACATATTTTAGTTTCTTTATATCTTCACCATGTCTGGATTTTCTCTAAAAATTTGCTGGCAACATCATTTCCCTTGGGAAATAAATGGAGCGATAGGCATTATTCTGAGCAGTGGAAATAGTCAATCTAACATTGCTCTTCATACTTTGGTTAGCATTGTAAGAGATGTCTAAAAAAAATCAGGTTTTTCTGCAACTAACCAATCTCCAAGCAGATGACAGTGGCCTATATTATTCCTCAAGAGAGAGAAATGCACACTGAAAAAACTCTTCCTGATGCAGTACAAAAACTGTTTTTCCAGTCAAATAAACATTATAGCTTTGTCATTTGGCACCTGCTAGAAACAGGATGTGTTTTAACCCTTTGCTGCTAAAGTGTGAACTCTTGCCACATTCACAGACAATATTTTTAAGCTAATTTCCCTCCCTTCCTTTCCTTTCCTTCCCTCCCTTCCCTCCCCTCTCCTCCCTCCCTCCCTCCCTTTCCCTTCCCTCCCTCCCTTTCCCTTCCCTCCCCTCCCTCCCTCCCTCCAGCTGTAAAGCAATAAAATAAAATAAAAACAATGGTAAATGCTAAACCATTATATATAATTTATCTTATTTTATCTTTTAATATTTTATTCCATTTAGTTTTTATTTTATTTTAATAAAACTGTGCTGACATATTTTTGCCTAATATAAAGTTGACAGGAGCTGTATGGATTTGTCAGTCTAAGGTCTGCATACTATCATTAAATGAACTAGAAATCTGTGAGGAGAATCAAATCCCAAATTGTTTCAGTTTGAATTAAGCTAACCTGTTTGTATTGGTGTGAATTTTGACCATGGTTTGCATTTTGAAACGTCTATTTTTCATAATGGAATATGCACTTCAAAAAAACACAGGGCTGAAATTCCTGCAACATAGTCACAGAGTGGATTTTTTTCTTAAAAAGCAGAAAGAGAACTGCAGATCTCTAATTGCCATATCAGAAAAATTAGACATGAAGAAGGGGGAGATTAGGAGAATTATCAAGAGGGCATTTCAGCTTTTCTTCTTCAGCCATTCTTCTGAGAATGCTAATAACTCCATCATTAAGTGATGTTCTGGTGTGTAATTACAATGCAGAAAATCTGGCTGGCTGACTGACACCAATTGTGCTAGGATAGTGTTAATTCTTGGGTTGAATCAGAAACTAGAAATATGAATATTCATATCTGCTGGCCAGAAGCATGCCACAGTAGGATAACTAATGCCTAAGTCTACAGACATCTTATTACTCCATCGTTTATTTTCCAGGAAAATGACCCTCTAATTTGGCTTTAGGTGTTTCTTCAGCCTCAGTGTTGAGAACAAGAGCACTTCCAGGCCTTTGAGAGTTGCAGTCCCCAAGTGAGTTTCTCACAGACTAGCTCAGCTCTTTTCACAGCTGTGATATTTTCAACTTTCTCCTGGATTTCCTGACATGGAAACCGAATTGCCTGGAGGACATGAGAGTTGCTTAGAGAAGTCAACACACAGACACAAACACAAACCCACAGACATTTTATTTTTATCTCTAGAGTCACAATGTACTTTTTCTTGCTGCTGAAAATGTGCAACTCGAGCTATGGTTGACATTCTCAGCATTATATATTTAAAAACTGGATGATGATGATGATAATGGCAACAACAATATTTTTGTGTCAATATATGTAAGTGTATGTATTCAATCAAAAAATTGTGAGTTTGAATAAATGCACTTATTTAAAAAATAAGTCACATGAAGAGACACACAAATATATTTACATATGGAGAGCATTATCCATTAAGATATGCATTTGTGTGTGTGTATGTGTGTGTATACACACACACACACACACACACATATATATATATATATATATATATATATATATATATATATATATATATATATATATATATATATATATATATATATATATATATGTAG